TTTTTTATATATATAACATTTCTGTCCCCCTCACTTCTGAAATGATGGCTACGGCCCTGTATATAGTTTTACCGAGCAAACAGCAGAAACGGCGAGAAAGACCGTGGCAGCTGCCACGAACTCTGGCAGCTGCCAGAAACGACTAGTGGCAGCTGGGGATGCCACCGGAAGTGGCGCTGCGACCTGACGCTGCCAGGCTTTGCGCTTGCTCTTTCTCTATAATTCTTTCCTCTCTCTGACTAAATATAAAGATGGTCTACCTTTGTTTAGAAGCTCGTCTATTAAATTCTGGGTCTTTTGCAGGATTGTGTTATGAAAAGACCAGTTTTAACTGCTTTATTTGATTAACTAAACAAACTTCCCTTTCAGACTACATAGATGCTCCTGTAAAGGAGTTAATAGCTTGAGAGAGGGATTTGTTATTTGTGGTAAGACTTTTTGGTTGAAGGTAACTTCAGTTATATGCAATGTTCCTGCTAGAGCCTTTGTCAAATGCATTAAATCTAATTGTTGCTATTCTGGATGTGACCAGTGTGTTCAAACAGATGTTTACATGAACCACCGCATGACTTTCCCAGAGATTCATGCATCTCAAAGGACTGATGAGTCTTTTAGGCAAACTGTGGATGGAGATCACCACTTAGGACATTCACCTCTGGTCGAAACCAATATAGGCATGGTTAGTTGTTTTTCTCATGATTATATGCATTTGGTGTGCCCTGGTGTGGTACGAAGACTGTTGGATTTGTGGATTTGGCAGTTACTATGTCTTCTTCTTGAGCGTCAAGTAAAAGCTATCTCTGAGCGATTTTGTCCCACTTGAATTTGTCAGAAAACCAAGGAGTCTGGAAGAAAGACTAAAATGGAAAGCAACAGAATTTAGACCGTTTCTACTATATACTAGGGCCAGTTGTTCTTAGCGGTTGTCTTGCTGAGCAAGTGTATAACAATTTCATGCTTAAGTCTGCTGCAATTTGCATTTTAGCAAATCCGTCATTCTGTTTATCCATGAATGACTTTGCCGATGCATTGCTGCTTGTCTCATTTGTTTAACGTTTCAGTAAGTTGTATGGCCCAGAATTTGTGGTGTAAACTATGATTTGATTCAGCTTAGCGGTGATTTCAGATTTCACGGTCACTTAGACCTAATATCTGGATTTCCTTTTTGAAAATTACTTGCAGAAAGAAAAAAAAAAGATCTGGAAGCCAGATCTGAAATGCAAGCTGTGCACTCAAAAAGCAGCAGTGAAGTACAGGGATTGAAAACACAGACAAAATTCATGCACACAGATGGGCCAGTAACACAGATGGCAGTTCAGAGAATTAAAGGGATAGTTCACCCAAAAATGAAAATTAGGACACTTTTTATTATGGATGGACGCACTTTTTTCGGCTTCTTTTGGAATATTGAATAACACCCATTCACTGCCATTATAAAGCTTGGAAGATCCAGGATATTTTTAATATAACTCCGATTGCATTCGTCTGAAAGAAGAATATATATGATACCTAGAATGGCTTGAGGGTGAGTAAATCATGGGGTAATTTTCATTTTTGGATGAATTATCCCTTTAAGTAAGGATGATGTGGTCATTAAAACTTCAGAAGATGATAATAGTATTGAGGTTAATAATGTTGTTGTTCTGGCACAAAACTTTGTTTTGTTTAAAGGTTGAACGTTTGTTGATTATAGGGAGTATTCCAAGAAAGAAAGCTTGTTTGACTACCCAATAGATTCCCAGGAATTTTTGTTGTCATTGGAGCAGAAATGTGCTAGGCTTAGACAAAATATACATGAGTATGTGAGGTTGAACTTGCCACTTGAGGGACAGGGCAGGTTTGCTGTTTTCCCTTTCTACATTTAAAATGAAGTGTGTGTGTGTGTGTTTTCCTTTTCTTTTTTTCTTCCAGAATTGTAATTGGAAATTTTGAGCTACACTTGGACAATATACACAAGTATATGCCATCTAAGAGTCACAATTGATTTCATGTATTTGCTTTTATATTACCTTTTTTAAAAAAAAAAAAGTTGTTTATCCACATTTGTGATTTGCTTGCAGAAATCATGTACCACATTGTCAGCTTTGTTGACACTGAAGTAGAGGTTGTGCCTGCAATCTGGTGAAGAATGGTGTGTGTTTTTGGCCTCCAAACAAGGGTGAAAGAATTCAGAGGGCAACCAAGTGTTTGGAGCAACCCCAGGAGTCTTGGTCTGCATATAAAGTTAAAATTATGTATACTGCAAGTATGTATAAATCCTTTCTGTACACATTGTTTAATTAAAAAGGTTAAATGGTAAACAACTTTTTGGATTGTTCTGATTTTTGAATTCTGTCTTTCATAGATAATTATAGTGAAGCACGCCAGAAGCTGCCTCTTGCAGAACAGCAGACCGATCTCCAGTCAGAGGCTGAGCCCAACTCCCGGAGGCCACCAAAACGAAAAATAAAGTAAGATTGTGTATATTATGTAATTCTTTAACACAGACCTGTCTAACAGGTCCTTGTTTCGTTGTGCAGTTTAAAAAAATAACATGCATTTTTCTTTTTGAACTGCAAAAAGGGAATATTTCACTGAATAATTAACATACCACCCTCACTTCATCAAATTTAGTAATCATTACATTTCTTGCCTTCTCTAAAGACGAAACAGGCGCCTACTGGATGATTATGACAGTGATGAGGAGGCTACCACACCCCTAAAAAACTATTTGCCACAAGCCCCACAAATACAGCCTCTATCCAAAAGGATTTCAACCAAGTCCTCTAGGACAAAGACAAACGCACCCCACTGTTTGGCACCAAAAGTCCCCGGGTGTGACACAGGTTGCAGAAACTTCAGGACCATTCTTGTTGGAGATAAGTCCTGCCTCAGAGTGGCATGAAAAAACTCTGCCACCTCACCAGATTTCCCAGAAGCCGTGGCAAGCAAGAAGTTCAGCCAGAGCATCACAAGACATCACAGAACATAACAGTGAATTGACATGGCCACAGGACACAACTGTACAGTCTCCTGAACAGGCGGCACAGTTACCGTGGCATCAGGAAACACCCAGACCCCAGAGAAAAAGCCTCTCGAGCTATGACCCATTCATAACATGTAAGATTCCTTTCTGTTTTCTAACATTTATTCACTGCTAGTGTAATGCTCATTTCATAGCATGGGTGGTGTGGTAAACCTTGCAATTCCTGTGTTTATTGTTTCAGCACTTCTTCATGCCATAATAACTAAACAAGAAATTCTTATGGAGCAGCAGAGGAACATTATAAGGATGGTGCAAGATCTCAAAGCAAACAATGTTCGTGAGATCACAGAGGCTAACCATTTAAGTCCAAAACGGTTTCCAATGGAAGATCTAAGGTCATTAACTTCCCTGGAAAGTGATCTTCGGTCCTGTCCGGAAACGAAACAAAAAGAGGTAGGTAACCTTGTCAGGTACTCGTAGTTGCCTACTGTTATAAATGACTAAGTCTGATTGTAATTACTGTTATAATTAAATGGTGTGTGTGATTAGGGGTAGGCAGTATACCGGTAGACACGTGTAGTGGCTGTGCTACATGGTCACGAAAACTTATCATTTGCACACGTTTTTAAGCTTTGTGGTTTAAAAACAAGTGAGAATAAAAACAAAAGAGAACTCATTCTGCTAAATGCACGCACTGTCTGAGAGACTGTATTGAACCGAGTTATTTTTGCCGTTTTATAGGCCTTGAGCGGTTAAATACACACACACACACTTGTATTTGTCAAAATGCCCGTCTTTGCAAGTATCGTCGTGAACACAGTAATTTAGGTCTTAAGTGAAAGCAAATAGCTGAGAAAGAAAACACATGTGTAACAGTATATTAGATCAGGACAGCTCTTAAAGTGACAGCTAAATCACTTTTGTAACTTTAATAAGAAGAAATATATATTTAATTTATTTAATATATTTAATTTATTAATTTATTTGTTCTATTTTTTTGTCCTGTTGCTTGTAATTAGTTTCGTATTCTTTTTTTAATCGCTGACTGTTTACTTGTCTTCAGTGAGCTTGAGTTGTTTTTTTGTTTTATTTAAGCTAGTTTTTTTGTGATATTGATACTGATGGCAAGAATTATGAAATTTCTATGGTATCACAAATTTCCATATCATAAAGACCTTATTTAAAGGGGTCATATGATGCTGCTAAAAAGAACATTATTTTGTGTATTTGGTGTATCTTTAAAGCAAAAATAACTATATTGTGATATATATCGTTACCGTGAAATAAAATTACTCGTATTGTGATATAAGATTTTGGTCATATCACCCACCCCTATGTGTGATTAATCTAAAACATAAAAAAAAGGTTAAAAAAAATATTTGAATAATTTATCTAATTTGATAAGTCTAATATCAGTATTAATCAGTGCTAGATTTATTCAATTCAGTTAGATCTGAATCTGTTCATAACAGTGATCAACAAACCGTGTGCTTGGCACTTTCAAAGTCAATTCTATTAAACAGGAAACAGACAGTGGGAGTGAAGAAGATGAAATGGCACTCAAGGATGAAGAATTCTGTCCGGTACAAATAGGTAATCAAAGGACACCGAAGATGGGCAAACCCTGTGGTCCTACATGTGGAAAGAAATGTACGGAGAAGATCCCGCATGTTCGAAGAAAAGAGATATTTGATGCCTATCAGGACATGTCACACAGCGGCAAGTGGGCTTTTGTATTTCACTCAGTTACCCAATCATTGAAAAACCGTCTCACGACTGGAGGTCCCAGTAGACGCAACAAGACTTTTCAGTATCATCTAAATAACAGCCTCGGACAACCTCAAGATGTTTGCAAAACCTTCTACCTAACCACATTGGGATACCACCCGAAAAACGACAGCATGATTGTCAACGTGACGGGCAACACGTCCAGTGCAGTTCCTCCTCCAGACCGCAGAGGGCGTCACCCACCGGCCAATAAAATAGATCTGTCGCCAATTCACGAACACATTGAATCGTTCAATCCAACTGTCAGTCACTGTAAATGTGAACATGCTGAAAGCAGGCGATATTTATCAAGCAATGTAACCATCATGATGATGTATAAAGACTTTAAAGGCAAAAGTGCAAAGGCATGTTCATATGAAACCTATAGGAAAGCCATAAGAGACATGAATATAGGTTTCAGGAAACTGCACGCGGAAGAATGTCTGGAACGCGATATTCACGTGAAGACTGAGCATCTCTAAAGCAAACAGTAGCAAATTAACGCTTTGCTGAATGTAAAATAAGAGCATGATTCTATATAAGTCAGGGTTTCACTTATCTTTGTATATTATTTCTGCGGCCAAAGTTTTGGCTACATTTTACACCTCAGTGACCCATTCAGATGTTTACAGTGTTAGAAAATGGATGAAAAATACAGTAAAGTAAGATAATTGGATGAACTCACATTTATTTACCTGCACTTTCTATTTGTATATTGTTTACATTGTATCACGTTTTGTTGTTGGTGTAGCTACTGTGTTTTGCAGTTGTAGGGCACTACATATTTCATTTTTTTCCCCCCTGAAGATGAGATTGGGAAGTGTTATAACAGCATCAGTTCTGCCATGACAACTCTTGGAGGGATTTGCATGGTAATGTACATGACAATGTTAATGTATTTGGTCTTGGCGGAATAGATCTGCTTCGCTGCTGCTGCGGCAGAGCAAGTACAGAGACTTGATACTGCCAAGACATCCACAACATGCTGCTGTGAGCATGTAAGAAATAGTGCTGCTGCAAATATAACATACATGAAATAACCCCCAAATAGCATATATGAATCACCTCGTAGCAGATCTATACAGGTGGAGCTGGGGAAGGTGGAGGGTTTCTGATGCAAGCTGCAACTGCTACGGCAAGCACTAGTCATACATTTGAATGTTGAGCAGCGAGCTCATTGGCTACCGATACAGGAGAGAACCAATCAGCTGTGCCATGTGATAATGATGTCATCAGGTCAGATTGAGTTAGACCTATCGGACTGCGCCATCTAGAGTTTCATGCCAGAACTCTGTATTTAACTGATTAGAAAAGAGCCACGGGAGTAAAACCCTTCTAATGAGAGTTGTACATTTCTTCATCATATTTGCTGTTTTGATTGGTTGGGTGGTAACAATACAATAACCTCAAGTACAAAATGTAAAATGTTCATGTTTTCACTTGGTTATAAAGCCACACTCTGTGGACATAAAAATCTGAACTGACAGCACTCCTATGAATTATTCACTGCACCAGTGACATACCTGAATATGTTTTCTATGAAAATGTGCATTACAGTGTGCAACTGCAATCACAAATGGCCATTGGCCAGATTCCTTTTAAGCATGTCTTCTAGCATGCCCTTGAAAGTGTGCTTACACTCTTGACTGAGAAGGAAAACAGAATAAAGAATGTCATAATTTCCTCTAAAAGCATTGTATTTACTACAAATATGTGGCATGGATTAAAAGTCCAGTCAGTGACTTTACATATAAGATCGGCAGCAACATTTTCACAAAGTGACCCAGTGAGTGAAAGATTTCCACTTTGAAGCCCAGCTGTTCCTATTTTCATTTCTTATTGGCTGACTCGGGTTAAGGTGATCACATGAGGTACCAAGCAGCCAATCCAGCGACAGCAGCGACCCATGTGGCCAGAATCACCTGTACTGTGGACTGACAAAGCAGCATCTTGGCAAAATTACATGCATAGGTCGTGTTTCCGCTCACTGCTAAACAGAAAATGAGGGAAGCAGTTGAGTAAAAACAACAAAGCATTTTAAATATACATAATACAAAACAATATATTAAGAAATATAGTGTCCCTAACAACTTCCTCACCCATTTTAGCTGCATAGTAGGGGCATTTACTGATGTCTCCACCCATATCCCCATGAGCATGAAAGCCAGTGTCCTCTTTTATGCCTTTCCCAATCTTCTGCAGCTCTGTGAATACCTAATGGAAAAACAAAGAACATGGAGAAAGGAAGTACAAAAATCACTATTAATAAAACATTAATGTTTTTATGTACATAAATGCACATAACTTAATTCACCCAAAAATGAACTCAACCTCAGACCATCTAAGATGTAGATGAGTTTGTTTCTTCATCAGAACAGTAGCATTGCATAATTTGCTCAACCAATGGATCCTCTGCAGTGAATGTGTGCCGTCAGAATGAGAGTCCAAACAGCTGATAAAAACACAATAATCCACAAGTAATCCACATGCCTCCAGTACATCAATTAACATCTTGCTTTCACTTCACAAGAAATTGATTGATGGACTGGAGTCGTGTGGATTGCTTGTGGTTTATTGTAATGTTTTATACAGCTGTTTTGACTCTTGTTCTGACGGCACCCATTCACTGCAGAGGATCAATTGGTGAGTAAAGTGATGTAATGAATCTGTTCTGATGAAGAAACAAACTCATCTACATCTTGGATGACCTGAGGGTGAGTAAATCATAAGCAAATTTTCATTTTTAGGTGAACGATTCCTTTAAAAGGTATGGACCAATAAAAGGAAGTCATATTTGATAATCCTCTTACTTCTAAATTATATTTAAAAGCCAGGTTGGCTTCGTCTAGCAGCTTCTTTTTGGTCTCAGTATCCACTTCCAGCTCATTCATCCTACTGCGGTACAGCCTCTTGAAGGCCGTGGGGTTGTGGATGCCCTCAAAATGGTAGCAGTTCAGTCCCTCACCAGTAGGGGGCAGTTTCAGGGCCCGCTGAGCCACTTTCTTTAGAATCTGCCCTCCTGACAGGTCACCCATGTAGCGGGTCCAAGCATGCGCGACCAAAAGAACCGGGTCGTCACGACCCACCTCGTGAATGCGGTCCACGTAGGGCTGCGTGGCTGCAGAGCAGGAGATCTTGCTCTCCCAGTCTTCACCGTAGAGATACTCCAGGTCTTTGGCCAAGGCATCTCGTCTGTGAAGCTCAGAGGGGAAGTATAATGGGGCAAACATGGGGTGGTTCTTGTTCTTCTCGATCTCTTCCTCAATGGCAGAATAAACATAGTACAGGGCAGCTGTGCCAAGCTGGAGATTGAAAAAATGACAAAATAGCACAAGAATGGAGGTCAGAACACGATCGGCTCTTTTATCAAACTCTACAAGAGTCCATGAACACTAGACTCAACTTAAATAGCTCTCGTTTGATTCGTCCCCTCAGGAAGTCCTTGACAAATGGCGAGTTCTCTGCTTTGTCGTGAGACTCCTTGGTTCCAGCCGTCAACACTTCTGACAGGTCATCAGGACAAAGAGATTTATCAAAATAAAAATTGTTTATGCTCTATACTGCCACCTACTGGCTTGGATGTAGAGTCACTTAATTTTGAGTTTTTAATGGCATTGTAGAAATACACTAGTTAGTGTATGATGCTCAGTTTTTTTTTTCTGTGTAACCATTTACAAAGTCAGCAGGTGTAAGATGCCTAGTGTTTTAAAATCTGTTGTGTAGAAGTTGTGTAGTGTAATCCAACCTTAAATAGTGCTTGTATTTCATTCTGAATAGATATTTCTAAACCACTGACTGCAGTCTTCATCCCATTTTTGTCAAAAGTACTATTCATTTATTTAGGTGTAAAACCTTTTCTAATGTGTAGAAGCTTGATGCACCCTAAAAACAAGTACATCATGAAGCTATAAACATTATGACAAGCCTGTCAGGTTAGGACAAGGCCAATATGGATGCATTCTCTATAACTTAAGATGCATCAACGAAAGGTACCTGAGAATATAATCGTCGCTCTCAGCAAGGATGTTCTCTCCTCTATTAGACACTGCTGAGTCTGCAGCCATCATGTCCTTCTGTCTGTATGTATGCCTGGTCCTCTGCTTGATAAATAAAGGCAAGTGCTGAAGATTAGACGACAACAGTTGTAGCCACTTAGAACCAACCAAGACCAAATATATTTTGCCACTGTCATGTCAATAGTAATAAAGCATAATAATCATGTCCTCCTGTCTAGTGTTGGTCTTAATTGCGCAAGTCGTATCCATTGTGACATTAGTCAAAATGAGCGTCCAACAACAAATACTCGTGACATTGACTTGTGTAGGACAGTCTGCACGTAAATTTATGTAGTTAAATGACCGTTCGTATGCAGTAAATACCAATAGGATTACGCTTTTTTTTCAACTATGTAAAACAGGACGGCTGTTATTTGACCTGATCTGCAGTATAGGGTCGGTTCACATCACGTTGTTTAAATTGTTTACAGAACTAGAACCGCCTCCAAACAGGAAGTAGAATGACGCGCTGTACGTCACGAAGAAATTTCGACATTCGATATATAGGGAATAGAGCGATACTAATAAAAATATAAGAACACGAACACACTGGAAATTAAATAAGGCAATATTGGAAGATGACTTGTTTAAAAAGGAAGTTAAAAATATTATTTTGAGTTGCTGGAACAATGCAAAAAGTTCAAATAAGTATGGTACCAATTGGGAGTACATGAAGTACCTTATAAGGAAGCAAGCTATTGTTGGAGGAAAAATAATAGCACAGTCTAAAAGGACTAGAGAGGAATAAGTAATAAAAGAGATAGTTAATTTGACAAGTATTAATGTAATGAATCAGCCGGACAAACTCAGGTTATTTGAATTACAGTTACAATTAGATGAGATGAAAATTAAATGTTCCCTCTGAAAAATTGTGAACTTCTTGATATTAATGGCATCCCTGTAAAAAATGTTGTTACCTATTTAGGAATCAAAATATATAAAGATGAAAAGGAAAGGGGACAGCTTAATTTTCAACCTGTGGTTCAAAAAGTAAAAAATCAATCTTTACAATTTCATTTTGGAGAAATAGATCTCATTACATTAAAAAAGGTACCTTAACTAATTCGGTTGGTAATGGAGGCTTAAATGTGCTTGACTTCAGCACATCAAATGCAATTTTAAAGAATAGATGGATCAAGAATTACTTTCAACATAAACATAAAATGTGGTATTTAATTTCTAATCTAATCTTTGAAAAGATGGGTGGTGTTGCTTTTCTGTTGCAATGCAACTTTGAAATAAGTAAGATTCCAGTTAGATTAAGTAATTTTCACAAGCAGGTGCTACTCTCATGGATGCTTATAAATAAGCATAATTTCTCTCCAAATAAATGTATAATTTGGAATAACAGGTATATAATGTTTATGCATAAAACTTTGTTTTTTTTCCAAAAATGTGTAGACAATGGTATTTGTTAAACAGTTATTTAATGAAAATGGGCACCTGTATACCTACATAGAATTTCTTCAAAGGTATAATATTCCAATAATCCCTAAAGAATATTGTATAGTGTTTGATGCTATACCATCCGGACTAAAATGTCTGTTTAAAGGAAATGTGAATAAGGAGACTGTGAGTCTCAGACCTGATGTTGCAATTAACGGAGTTACTATTAATTATAGAAAATGGAATAATTACTTTTATCAGGAAGTTACTAACAGAATACAGCCCAACATCGTCTAAAACATACTGGTATTCTAAATTTGAGTGCATTGACTGGAAATATGCATGGTTGCTGCCTAAAAAATATTGCATAACAAATAAGGTGAGAGAAGTACATTTTAAAATACTCCATCTGGTGTACCCTGTTAGAACTCTTTTTCTGAGATTTTGTACTGATGTAGATGTTATATGTGATTTCTGTGGGACTGAGAAAGAAAATGTTGTGCACTTATTTCGTAACTGCCACAAGCAGGTGCTACTCTCATGGATGCTTATAAATAAGCATAATTTCTCTCCAAATAAATGTATAATTTGGAATAACAGGTATATAATGTTTATGCATAAAACTTTGTTTTTTTTCCAAAAATGGGTAGACAATGGTATTTGTTAAACAGTTATTTAATGAAAATGGGCACCTGTATACCTACATAGAATTTCTTCAAAGGTATAATATTCCAATAATCCCTAAAGAATATTGTATAGTGTTTGATGCTATACCATCCGGACTAAAATGTCTGTTTAAAGGAAATGTGAATAAGGAGACTGTGAGTCTCAGACCTGATGTTGCAATTAACGGAGTTACTATTAATTATAGAAAATGGAATAATTACTTTTATCAGGAAGTTACTAACAGAATACAGCCCAATATCTTCTAAAACATACTGGCATTCTAAATTTGAGTGCATTGACTGGAAATATGCATGGTTGCTGCCTAAAAAATATTGCATAACAAATAAGGTGAGAGAAGTACATTTTAAAATACTCCATCTGGTGTACCCTGTTAGAACTCTTTTTCTGAGATTTTGTACTGATGTAGATGTTATATGTGATTTCTGTGGGACTGAGAAAGAAAATGTTGTGCACTTATTTTTTATAGCTAAATGTTTTGCTGTTCTTTTTTCTGTTTAGTTTTTTTATTATTATTATTATTATTTATTTTTTTACCTGTATTATTTATATAATACTGTATATTTTCTATTTCTCTTTTGTAGTTTATAATTGTTCAGTACCTTTATATTATATGTTGGAAATCCCAAAAAAAAAAAGAAGGGAATAGAGCGATTTCATACACAACATTAAACTTAAATAGTTAGTGTATAAATCTTATTTGTTTATTTATTTATTTATCATTTTCTTTTAAATCAATTGATTTTTTTAAAATGAACGCCTTTGACAAACTGGTGTGACAACCACTGATCTGTGAGGATTTATTTTGTCTATATCAAAAATTTCCCAACTTCAAATATCCTCCTGAGAACCAGAAAAAAAAGTTTTGTGATTTTTTTTAATGTCATTACGTTGGTTGGAGGGGAAAAAAAAACATTTTTGAAAAAAAAAATTTATTCATATTTATTCTATGTCCTTTGTAGAGGATGCCAGGACTAAGTTATTCAAAAAAAAATAAAAATAGACATGAAAAGGCATGTATAGGCAAAGACAATATTTTATTTTTTCATTCACCAATCATTTTTTAGGTTTCAGGCTAGTTTTAACCAAACTTTGTACAAAGATGATTCTTAACTATGTTATGAAAGATATAACAGAATGATTTGATATACTACTGCAATTTATGGAATATGTGTGTAAAATGTCCATAAATTGGTATTCCCATTCTATACAATGTATCTACACATGGCATCTAATTTGCATATTAATGTGTTCATGGGGCAAACCATAATGAAAAAAATAAGTGTAATAATGGGAGTAATAACTTAGCAACAGTTTTGTGAGAATATCTCATATTTCATAGTAATATCTGATCTATAATTTCTTTCCCTACTGACTTCTTGTGTCTCCCCAAAATGTCTGATTAACATGATGTTTGTCCTGGTGTCCTCTACAGAAGACATGTATGAACATTATGCCCTGTTTTGGAATAAAAAGTCATATTCCAATTTGAAACTCCATAACATTTTTCTGAGATGTTTATTTAAGACAAACGATTTGAAAATTAGCCAGATTTAAATGATAATTACAAAACATTATCATGTTTCCCAAAGAGTGCTAAATCTGATCATTCTGTCAATATCAGTCATATTTAAAGACCAAGGAGAAAGAGTGTTTATGATCAAACCCCCAAACATTTGATACCCCTAAAAAGCGGACAAAAGTCTATGCCTGGGTCCCAGGAGGATATGATGTGATATAATACAATATAATATGAGGCTTCTGTAGCTCAAACGGTATTTGCTTTGGATAAAGTGTCTGCTAAAGCCATGAAAGATCATATAAAATATAATATAATGTAATATAATATCATTAATATAATATAATAATAGTTTCATTTTGACCTAAGATCATCAATTGGTTGAACACTATTGGCGCGATTTCACTTTTCAACAGTAGATGTCAGTAAAAACTAGATCATCTCTCAAATCAAGCATTGCACATTAAAACGGGTTCAAAAAATCACTTGTAGCCTACCATAGACTTGCAGTACATTTAGCTAATTCATTGAGACTTGCTGGTATGCTGTTTTGACTTTTTTTTCTTTTCTGCCCAGAACACCTTAGCTACAGCGTTGAAACCACTCAACATCAGTTTTAACGTGTTCTGGTGAAGTTCTAAGGCCAAACTCCATGCAGCGTCTAGACCAGGGTTGTCTAAACTCGGTCCTGGAGGGCCTGTGTCCTGCAGAGTTCAGCTCCAACTTGCCTCAACACACCTGCCTGGACATGTCAAGTATACCTGGTAAGATCTTGATTAACTGGTTCAGGTGTGTTTGATCAGGGTTGGAGCTAAACTCTGGAAGACACCGGCCCTCCAGGACCGAGTTTGGAGACCCCTGGTCTAGACTGTGAGTTTTTCACTTGGCAAGCATCACTGACATTTTCTTCAAAAAACGTAAAAATCTATTCCTCTTTCTTTTGGCTGTGAGGCACAAATGCCGCTTTTGACCACACATCCTTAATAAAACCGTATCTGCTGTTAAAAACTTCTCAGAACTTCTCACAAAGGCCCATAGCTTACATGATCTCAATGGTGAGCCCAGTATATTTTTATAACACTGACAAAGCTTCCACTCGTGCTTAACATTCAATAGGATGCAGGATGCACATACAGTGGGTACGGAAAGTATTCAGACCCCCTTAAATTTTTCACTCTTTGTTATATTGCAGCCATTTGCTAAAATCATTTAAGTTAATTTTTTTTCCTCATTAATGTACACACAGCACCCCATATTGACA